ACTCCGGAGACGCTAATTTTTCGCACAATGTCTTTATCTCCACGGAAGACACTTACAACCCTATACGCTAAGCGATACGCGTATATGCTCTGGCCCTGAGCGCCTAGTGCACGGTAGGTAGTTTCTCTATACTTCGCGAAATATTTAGGTGCCTTCCCCGAGGTCGCACTAGAGAGTGCGAGGAAGACAGGGAAACCAGGTGCAAAAAGGTTAATGACCTCGGATTCCTGGCAGGGTTCGTTGAAAAACCGAACCAAGGAAGGTTTGCAAGTGTCATATGCTGTGAGCGGAACCAGCTTGCGGAAATTCCACAAAAATCTCTGTTAACCATCGTGCAGCATTTCAACAGTGTGGCTGAAGATGTTGAGCTCATCAGCGGTTTGGTAGAGCTGTGATTTCCAGTTCGTGCTGATGATCTCGAAGAGAAACTTTTCACTGCGCTCTCTGAGCTGGGACAACAGTTCGGGAGTCAGTGATTTGAGAGGTGGAGAATAGAGAGAAGATGTCATGTCTTTGTTACCAGTTCGAACGCTTGATCTGCGAGTCCTGGCTCTTATATGCAGCCGAACGCCTGTTGGCATCAGCCTCGTTTGAATGTATAGAGAAACACTTACCGTAATCATCAGGGGGATTTAAACTTCTGCACAATCTACGTTCGATTCACGTCAAAGAATCGAGACGAAATTGAACGTCAGGACTCAGAATCGGTGAGTGAACCGCCTGCGCGCCATGTTTGACTCTCTCTATTGTCGACGTCACGGTACAGCAGAAGCGGCCCAGCATGGCAAATCGTCGCACGCGATCGTCGTCGTCGAGATTGCGCATTGGACTTGACAAATAACAAAAGCGTACCACGATCTAGTCTCTCGTAGCCTTAGGGAGACCAAATAGAATGAAGATGGTCGTTCCTTCTCATCTTGACTCGATAAAGAAATCTTGAAAACTTTCAAGGTCTGAATACTATGGGAGCTACAGTAGAAATGCTCATAATGCATGATTTAAAAAAAATCAAAACAAATCCCTAGAAAATCATTCTGGGTCACACCAAACTACCCATTACCAACAATAAATGGACCAGGCCTATCGCTGTCCATGGATCGCTTTTTGTGCCAAAAGTCATTGTATTCTGATTTGTTATGAATTATTATGCATTATGCATTATGAGCATTTCTACTGTACCTATAACCATGATCCAAAATCCATTGCGGCGACAATGGCGAGTCGGATGCGAAAACGGCGCGAAAGGGTCAGAGCAATACCAAAGCAGAGAACCAGAAGAACCTCGTAGAGCTCGGCATAGTTTGTAGTACGTACACAGCACAGCAACAGCACAGCGTTTTTACGACTTGTAATTACATGGTAAAGTGTTCGAGAGTGCTGATCTAAGAAAGTACAAGAAGAATGATGCAGTAGTGTTCCTAGTCAATCATTCCGCTTCTCTAGAGCACGAGCAATCCTACAGCAGCGGCAGCCAAAGCCCAGACCCCGCCTCCTGTGCCTAGCCTCAGCGCAGCACTTGTAGTCGTGGATGAAGGCGTCGCGCTAGAGGAGGTGGGCGAAGTCAACGTGCCAGAAGAAGCGGGCGAAGTTGCTGTGCCAGATGAGGCAGGTGAAGTGCTTGAAGACAGTACAGTGGACTCTGACACGGTTGTTGACACGGTCGTAGCTGTGGCCGACACGGATGTAGCTGTGGTCGACACAGTCGTAGCTGTGGCCGACACGGACGTAGCTGTGGTCGACACAGTCGTAGCTGTGGCCGACACGGACGTAGCTGTGGCCGAAGAACTAACAGGGAGAGAAGTTGAGAGAGTGCGGGACGGGTTTTGACCAGGGAGAGTGAGCTCTTGAAGTGTATAGCCGTAATCGTAGCAAGAAACGTAGAGCGCTAGCATATATATTAGGCGCTTGGCTCTGAGGTGTTTTATGTGAAGCTGAGCTTACTGTCTAGATCGCTTTGTGCCTGTGTATAATCTGTAGCATTCATCGCAGTGCCAACACACAAGAGACAGTTGTAGTAGCTTGTTTCAAAGGACTGGGTGCAGCATGTGGTTATAGGACATCCCTGGATGAGAGTTAGCGCTCAACATGGGCAAGGCCAGGGATGCAACTTACACTATTCACTTCAGCGTTGACAGGGTCACAGACTGGGGTGCACTGCGAGGGAACGGAGCTTTGTCTTTTGTACGACGCACTCGACAACGTCCGAAAAGTGTGGGTGAGATAAGAAGCGCTTGGACGAGATGAAACAAGGCCAGCAGCTGCTGATAACATTACGAGGCAGATCGTAGAGGTATGCATCGTTAACTGTCGTCACAGGGTCGTATCAAGAATATAGAGGAGACGTCCTTGAGAGGGGATGATCATATGGATCCAGGAGCACGGTATATAAATGCAAAAAGGGCCTGGTTGGGTGCATCACGGTGCGTGCGTCATGTGCGCAGGGCGATGGCGCTCTTGGCATTCTAATCTTCAGATGATCTATTGAAGGAAGCCAGGAAGCCCACAATTTTAGCAGGATCAATGATCAATCAAACGGAAGCGGGAAAGAGGGGTGCAAACCTGATAAAACTGACGACAAGATACCGGTGCTGAGAACAGATATCCCAACCGGTGTCTAATACAGTTTGACTGATCCTCTTATCAAGCACTGGCGGAATCACGCGTCGATGGATGATTGGACGTTATAAAAGATTGGATCAATGTCAGAACAGCCATGCAGCCTGCAGGGCCTCCAAGATGATGCAAGTATATAAAGCAGAGCAAACCAGTTACAGCTACCTTCAGATCGATAGACCATAATCCATTTTTATTCATTCACCGCTTTTGTTTACTGGACAAACAAAACGATCCCGCCTATTACGTTACTTGGTCGGGCGAGATACCCCAACTGGACTGCGCAACTTTCTCACTCGGTACTGTCTTCGGACATCATTCTCACCATGGTTGGAAACCGCCGTCACATTCCAGCAGCCATAAAGCAACAATATGCCAGTGGGTCACTATGTCTGCCCAAATGTCATCCAAGGCCATAGCACAAGTCACTATCAACCGAGTTCTTCGGTATCGGTCGGATCATCCTGAGATTATCAAAGTCAAACATTCGAGAAGACGAGAAAGCCGTCGCGCTAATGACCAGGTTGCTAGCCCTGGGCGAATCATGTTGAAACCTGCGAGTACTAATGCTGAGCTCATGCTGGAATGATCAGTAACAGAGACGATGTTAAACATACCATGATGAGTCGGTGATAAGTAGTCATACCAGCAGTGAGCTCAGAGGGGTGTCAGACGCAGCATCAAACGAGCAGCATACCGTATCATAGAAGTTGCGCAGTCCCATTCTGGGATATTCCGCCCGACGAAGTATCGTAACAGGCGGGACCCTTTAAAACAAAAGTGGTGAATGAACAAAAATGGATTCTGGTCTATGTAGCTGTAATCAAATTCAAATTCAGATGAAGGTCGGGTACGAAACCGGCTATGTCCGTCAGCACCTTCCAACTCCGAGCAAGTCATCTCAGCAAGCTGACGGTCCAGTCACAGTTGCATGGTTCTACAACAGCCAAGCTTCTTTCCGACAACTGCGCTAGTATGTTTACTGCTCGATCATCAGCTTGTGTGCTCAAAAATGTCGTAGGACCATGCAGCAGCAGGCCTCGGAGCAGGCGTCGTCGCCGTCCTTTGCATGCACCCTCTTGATCTCCTCAAAGTCAAGCTACAGGTAGCCACAACAAACCCACAGGGTGGAATTGGAAAAGCAATATGGCACTCTCTGCGTGACATTCATGCAAGTGAAGGGTGGAAAGGCCTGTACCGAGGTGTAGGACCAAACATAGCGGGGAACGCGTCAAGTTGGGGGCTCTATTTTCTTTTGTGAGTAGCATTTCACCAGTTCTAAAATTTTGGTGCACAGTACTAATATGCTTCAGCTATAACATGCTGAAGAAGCGTGCGACCGGAGATGACCCGAATTATAGGATGTCTCCTGGAACATACCTGCTTTGTTCCGCTCAAGCAAGTTTGCACTTCCGTCCCCTTCTGTCTTTATGATATTTTCTAAACTTGAATATCAATAGGCGCAGTCACAGCGATAATGACCAATCCTATATGGGTTGTAAAAGTGCGTATGTTCACGACGCGTGCCGATTCACCGACGTCATATCGTGGCCTCTGGGGTACGTTCTCCTTCCTATCTTATTCTCTGCTGTCTTCGCTTTGGTTTCCTAACTGTATGTATTAGACGGTCTTGCTTCAATATGGAGGCATGAGGGCATCTCTGGCTGGTGGAAAGGGACTAGTTTGGCTCTGGTCGGCGTGAGCAACGGTGCGATACAGTTCATGGCATACGAGGAGATGAAACGATGGGGGTTCGAACAAAAACGAAAGCGGTTTGCAAAGGCCGGAAAAGTGATGGGACCGGAGGATGACAAGCTCGTGAGTTTATCGCATTCTTCTCTGCCTCACGTTTGAGAAATTGGGCAGTCAAATACGTCTTACACATTAATGTCTGGTGCGAGCAAGCTCTCGGCTCTTGCGCTTACTTATCCATACCAAGTCATTCGCTCTCGAATACAGGTGAGACCATTCTTGTTTGCTAGCATCACGTATTTATCTATGTATTAGAACAACGCCACCGCTCACTTATACCCCGACATACCGACCACTATCAAGCGCACTTGGCAAGGCGAGGGGGTTCGTGGGTTTTATCGTGGGATGGGGGCGAACCTCGTGCGCGTTCTTCCTGGAACTTGCGTCACTTTTGTTGTATACGAGAACCTTGCATGGTTATTGCGGACATCTGCGGCGCGAAGAGAAGCGAGACGAAACATGACTACCGAGCTGGATGGAATCTAAAAACAACTATATTACATCTTAGATATTGGGAACTACCGTTCGACACCGAATGCCGATGACTTCAGCTAGTTTGTATGTTCTTGTGCGAAGCTCAATAGCGTGCCGCCTTAGCCAGATCTATAGAAGAAGAAAGAAGTCGTTTTTCTCCCTTCTAATAAAGGCCATTAGATTAGCTCCCTTCAGAGTCACGTTTCATCTCAATGTGCGATCTTCAACGGGAGCGGCTACGAGGAAGAGATCATTTTAGCTACATACTTACCAACCTGTCCTCTCGGCGCCAACAGCCTCTACAACGGCATCTGCAACCTCGAGTGCGAACCTTGCCCGATTCTCGATACTCCTGCCATATTCGTCCGTACGGTGGTTGGTGATGTCTTGAATGAACTGGCCGATCAAATAGTCGTTTGTGCCATGAATCTCGACGGCATCGAAGCCTGCTCGAATGGCATTTTTCGCGGCAGTGACGTACGTGTAAGCGTACTCCTTGATTTCATCTGTGGTGAGAGCGCGTGGCACTTCTGCTTCTGGCCTTCCCAGGAAGGGAATGGGTGAAGCTCCCACGTAGGGACTGTTGTTCTCTTTGGCGAGAGCGGCGGTTTCTGCGGCGCGGCCGAGTGCCCAGAGTTGTAGGAAAATGAACGAGCCCTTCTCGTGGACTGCATCTGTCACCTGTAGTTCGGGGCGCAGGTCAGCTCTCGTGCATCAATTCAATTTCATTAAGATACAACACACCTTCCACCCCTCCGCACGAGCCTCAGTGTATATTCCGGGGACATTGTCTTGACCGCCAGCGTTCTGAGATATGAATGTGTCCTCTGTGACAAGAAGAGTGCCAGGGATGGACCTCGCTGAGAGTAGTACGTGCCTGTGGGCCTGGGACGTGATCTGTGTGCATGCGGTTACGAGTAAGTGGGGCAAGAATGACGCGGTGCTGTAAGTTCATATTGCCAACGCGGATGGGGGAGAAGAGGGCGGATGTTGAGGAGGACATGGTGCTCTATTGAAATCAAAGATTGTCAAACTAGGTATGAGATGCGTGGAATGAATATCAATTGTCTGGCGACACAGCGATGCACACAGTGCACTTTATATGTAGGCAATTTCGCCCAAGCTGAATTCGAACAGACATTGATGATATAGTAAAAGCGTTCGGCGATTAGGGAATCTTCCCTTTGAATGCAACTGGGTTTACTCAGCAGGAGGCGGCACACTCCGGGAAACCATATGCCAGCATATGCTCAGGCTGACTGATTCTGAGAAACATTCAACCACGATTGCCTAACGATAGCGGAAAAACTTACATTGGGGACAATGAGGTCATAGTAGTGTTGTGGGCAGAACTGGCACTGCCAGGCAAATGGCAGAACTTCCCGGGCAGAAGGGACTCGTCGCGAGGCGCTAGGATGAGATCATGGTCACAAATCATGATGCAAACGAAGGAATATCAACTCGATGTTACTATCTCCATCTGCTACGCTGGCAAAACATAGTTCTGCAAGTTCTGCCCACAACACTAGATCATGATATATTAGATGATGCGAAGGGCCGCGCGCGGCAAAGCCCGCTACATTTTGGTGGTACTTGCAAGATACGTCACAGTTGGGTAGTATGAGGACACGCAAAACAATTTGGTTGGACGTGCGACGCAGGAAAGAAGTAGTAATAGTACTGTAATACAATTAGGCAGTCAGTGAAATATGCAAAATTAACCAGCCAGAATCAATGAACAACACCTTTGAAACTGATGGTAAAAACTGACGAGAGACAAGCATCACAAAGCTTCAACGTCAACGACCATATCTTTTGATCTTTTTTTCCCTTGTGTTTGTAAGGCGAACAGAGCGCAATCAGTCATAGCCAAGAACGACATTACAACCACAAAGATATGAAACCTCAAACGGATGCCGCGACAGCCATCGGCGCCCGCACAGATCCCAAGCTGAAGGAAGATTCGACCAGTGCCTGAGTGAACAGGGAAACCACCGTCGGACTCCGTCACTGAGTACTGAGGCCTGAGGCTATACACCCCGAGCTGGATTGAATCTACAAAACTACTTTACATCTCAGATATTGGGAACTCCTGTTCGATATTACACACACCAAGGGTCGATGACTTCAGCTAGTCTGTAGTTCTTGTGCGAAGTTCAACACGCGCCCCCTTAGTCTCCCCTAGCCAGACCTATGGAAGGGACGGCTGTCTTCGTTTCTTTTAACAAATACGCCGCCTCGCTATCAGATCAAGTGGCTCCCTCTAAAGTCACGTTTCATCTCAACGTTCACGATCTTCAAGATTCCATGGATGAGGACGGCTCTGAGGAAGAGATCATTTTGGCTAGAGATCAATATTCAGTGCATGGCGAAATCAGAACGAAATCAACAGTGTAGACGTATCCGCGATATCCAGGGAGTGTTGACTTCTCGTTTTTCTCGTCTTCACAATTCCTTGCGAGCTGTTCATCGATGTACATCGGGGTTGGCCATAAGTAACGAGTATTGACTTGAATGAACCCATATCCTGGACCGAGAGGATCAAGTGACGGATCAACAGGTTCTGGTGACACGAAATGGACATATACCCGACTATCGATGATATGATTGGCGGTATCCCGGGTTTCTTTCGCGAGGCCGTGCGGACCAGGGGTGTCTTCAGAGGCTGCAACAAACAAGCGAAGGAGGGGATGTTCATCAGCGAGATAAATGCGGGTATTGCGGACGAAATTGTATAAGGGATGGTGGTAAGATAGGTCACCCATGTAGTGGTAGCGAGCTGTAACGCATTGGTCTCGTAATGCCACTGCACCATCCACAGACAACAATTGACTATCGGCGATGAATCCCGTCTGTGAGTACAAGTAGGGATTCAGGTAGAGGGGGAGGATCCAGAGCGCAAGTATTATCCTGTCCACTAGTGTCGGAAGTATAAGGAAGAGATATGTACAGTAGGAGAGCCATGCGAAATCGTTGATTATCCACAGCGTGTGTTTCCCGAATCGACCAGATGATCGAAACTGAGGCGGAGTAGGAAAGAGACTCGGAAATGCCGCCAGACACTCGATGATGGCAGAGCGAGTGAGATACACTGTGAAGCACAGTATTCTTGACGGGTTGACGGTCTCCCATCGGAAGACAAAAGAAAACGTGAAATATAACCCCCCAAGGAAGAATGCAGCATCGAGAAGACTATCAATATAGGTGCGCGGCTTGAGCATGGCGAGTACCTTAGTTCAACTGAATGGTGCGCACAAGGTTTTATACGCTTATCTAAGCGAAACATTGACAGACATCTAATCTAGTCAGCCATGTTTGGTCTCTCTGATTGACGTCGCCGTCATCTTCGTCGCTCTGCGCAATATTTATGCCGGGAACTAAGTACTGGGTGACTTACTGAAGCTCTGTCGGGGAATGTACCGATATAATTGATCTGATAATCTGAGATAGGCTGACCTTGCGTGTGGAGCAGGCATAAGATTAAAAATACACGCTGCCAACTGACTGAGCCGTGTGTGCAGATAAGCTTGAATAAATATTATGATGCGTATGGAGGGTAATATCATGGTATCTCTAGTGTCCCAGTCGTCTATTTTAGTGTTCAGAACTTAGAATCTGCTGACCATACTCCGGCGCAAAGGGCCAGTCAGAGTAGCCCGTTGGCGTTAAATTACCGACTATGTACCACGTTTTCTGGTCCCCACGCTCGAGCGGAATGTCCTTTAGTAGGCGGAATGGAAGGTCGGGCTAAAGAAAGGGGACACGTCAGTCTCTGTCAAGCTAAAGAACAAATAGTACACGGCTTACGTTTGGCATAAACGACCTCCCGAATGCAACAAGTCCGCCCTTGTTGTCTGCCGTCTCAATAGCGCTCTTGCGGTCATGCCCATTCGCGCTGATGAACGTGCTTCCCTCACGCCCATCACGTCCATTCCAGATATCACGGAGGAAATCGCTCTTCTGTTCGGAAGTCTGCGGCTCTACGACGTGCAGGTAGGCGAGTTTGCGCTTGTGCAATTGCTCGGCGACGTAGGAGAACTGGGGTTTTGGATCTGCCATGCCCATTCCTACTCCAAAAATCAGTCAAAAAAAGGTCGATATTCAATGTTAAACGCACCGCTGAATATGCCCCATGGACTCATTCGGAACCCTGTCCTCTCGGCGCCAACAGCCTCTACAACGGCATCTGCAACCTCGAGTGCGAATCTCGCCCGATTCTCGATACTCCCGCCATATTCATCCGTACGGTGGTTGGTAACGTCTTGAATGAATTGGTCGATCAAGTAGCCGTTCGCGCCATGAATTTCAACACCATCGAAGCCCGCTCGAATGGCATTTTTCGCGGCGGCGGCGTACGTGTAAACGTACTCCTTGATTTCATCTGTGGTGAGAGCGCGTGGCACTTCTGTTTCTGGCCTTCCAGGGAGGGGAATGGGTGAGGCTCCCACATAGGGACTGTTGTTCTCTTTGGCGAGAGCGGCGGTTTCTGCGGCGCGGCCGAGTGCCCAGAGTTGTAGGAAAATGAACGAGCCCTTCTCGTGGACTGCATCTGTCACCTGTAGTTCGGGGAGCAGGTCAGCTCTCGCGCATTAATTCAATAAGATAAGATATAACACACCTTCTTCCACCCCTCAATATGGGCCTCAGTGTATATTCCAGGGACATTGTCATAACCGCCAGCATTCTGAGATATGAGTGTGGCCTCTGTGACAAGAAGAGTTCCAGGGATGGACCCTCGCTGAGAGTAGTACGCTGGGGCTTGTGGGCCTGGAACGTGATCTGCGTGCGCGCGGTAACGAGTAAGTGGGGCAAGAACGACGCGGTGCTGTAAGTTCATATTGCCAACGCGGATGGGGGAGAAGAGGGCGGATGTTGAGGACGACATGGTGCTCTATTGGAATCAAGGATTATCAAACTAGGTATGAGATGCGTGGAATGGATATCAATTGTCTGGGGACACAGCGATGTACACAGTGCACTTTATATATCAGGAATCTCGCCCAAGCCGAACAGACATTAATGAAGGTCGGGTAAAGGCATTCGGCGATTAGGGAACACTTTGAATTCAACCGAGTTTACTCAGCAGAAGGCGGCACACTCTCTGAGAAAACCATATGCAAGCATATGCCCAGGCTGACTGATCCTGAGGAACATTCAACCACGTACGATTGCCTAACGATGGCGGAAGAACTTGCATTGGGGACGATAAGGTCATCATGGATGACGTATAATATGCACAGCATTTTTCATCAGGCGCCTGTAGCCTTCTGCTGCAACGTCGCAGGTTGAGTTCATGACAAACAAGCTGTACAAATAAGTATTCCTGAGCCCGCCCCCTCTGGTATAGGCTCGGTCAGTTCCCCTCATCCCCCGGGGTTCCTATCCAGAAAGACTCGGAGTTGCGAACTTGAATGATACCATATCGTGGAGCAAGAGGAGCAGGACAAAGTGACGGATATTCATTGCGGAGAATCGAAGGAAGACAGCTGAACCAGACGATCTAGGACAACCAGTCAACCACGTACGGCCCTGTAAAACTGAACTCTAGAACGTTTGTCAAATTGTGCGTCTTTCCAAAACGAAACCACTGATATGTAAGTATGTGCTGTCAGTACTACTAGGGACCCTTCATAAGGAGGGATTAATTTGATTTCCAGCTCGAAGATGGTGCCCACTTCAGCTCAACTCGAGAGTCTCACCATTGGTGACGATGTATCCTACTATTACTTTGACAGCGGTGCTGTCCCTGGAAACATATATACGACATTTGTCTTTATCCATGGCATGGGTTTCAACGGAGGTGCAATTGCATCATACAGTACCCCATAATGTCCAGCTGACATTTATGCCCTATATGCAGGTGTTTTCAGGAAACTTTTCCCTCTGGCTGCTGCCCACAATCTCCGCATAGTCAGCCTATACAGGCGTGATTATGATCCCACCACTAGCTTCCGTGATGCAGACTTGGCTGGTCCCATATCTGGTACGGTAGAGGGACAGGAA